TCAGAGATACATTTTTACAGACCGTCATACCTTTTACAAACGTCGGTTGACATGTTATTTACATGTAACTGCTGGTAAGTTAATATGTGCAGACAACAAATATCCACACTGGGTTGCTTTTGGACTATCTTTGTGCAAGTCAGACAATTTTACGATACTGCTCAATGCCTTAATTGATAATGCCAAAATAACAATAACAATAATAAACTCTCTCTGTGCTTATTTATCCCCTAGAAGTACGATGTTCCATCAAGCCTACGATCAAGCTCAATCAGATTTTTTACAAACTGATAAATATCGACGAAGTCCACTTGTTTACTATGAAGACTTGTATGCACCTAAAAATGTAATAATTTAAATACAGTTTATTCATTCGCTTCAAGTTTCAACGCGTATCGACCAATACACATTGTTATTTGTGATCAAACTTTCATCTTACCTTGAAAAGCATTTTATTTAACAGTCAGAGTCCATTTGCGATGAGACTATGCCAGTACAGAGGCCATTATGCGTACATGTAACGTGTTTACAAATTGTCATTGTCCATGGTGGTGTTCGCGAGGTTCAACCGGGATAGTCGGAAAGTCAAATCGCGATCTGGAGTATGTTATTTTTTACAGTAAAGTTTTTGTGACGTCAAAATACGTCATAAATCTGATCATCCATCCGTACACCTCCAAAATCGAGATGTCGTTCGGCTATACATAACTCGGCCGGAAACGGACTGGTGCGAGAAAAACAAATCGTCAAGAATAGTGTGCTGCCTTCGGCAGCAATGAGCTGCTTGATCCTTTTCAAAATGGCGGGGCCTTTAATGTTTTAATGTTTTAATGTTTTAATAAGATTCGGCAACTACCTAAAAATACAACAATGTAGTGCCAGGGAGTTCGCCACAGGTTCCCCCAATTACGGCGATCCCTTAATATTTACATAAAAAATTACGTTCAAATAATTGATTAACGAAACAGACAAAGTATAACAACACAAATACAAAACGGCTAAACTGACAACTAACAATAGTTTAAAACACCATCAAGGGATCTAGCCCTTTTACATTTAACACAGACAGATTTCCAAGTCCGAGGATCGTCACAGTTATACGTGTTTGATAGTGCGTTCTTATAGTACAGTTTCAGTCCTGATTTAAAAGCATAGAAACCAATGTTTCTGTCTCGAAGGTTATCACTTAGGATGTTCCAGGTTTTACAAGCTCTAATAAAATACGAGGACTGGAAAGTTACAGTTTTGGCATAAGGTATTAAGACTAAATGTTTCAAACAATTCCGGGCCCCATTTCGTGAAAATTTTGGCCGAATTGTACCTGTTTTCTATGGATTTTGCTTTGTGTCTAATTCTGGACATTCATGCTAGTTTATTTAATGCGTTTTTCTTGGTGCACGACTCTGAAAATCCGAAAATATTTGGATCGTTGAATTCCCGTGCACGATCATAATATACTGAATCTGAATATAAAGAAGCCAAAGACAATTTCAAGTTAAAAGGTTATTTATTAAAACTATACGTTGTGCAGTTTAAGTTATAACTACTTTATGAGAAGCATGTTGGTGTCATATCAATATAAAATTTATCGAACAACAGTCCATGAAAACTGTCTGTAGTGTACTCAGACACTCAGTGCGAAACATGATAATATTGTATTTGTGATGCCTCTCAATGGCGCAATATAAGGATAAAAATACCACCGTTCGATTCAGCGTAAGAAGTTGTACTTACGGATGTCAAATGTATTACCAAACATCAGTATTCTAGCGATTTATGGCCTTTGAAAATCAAGCGAAATTGTATTGTTGACATCAAATCACTCGCAATACGTTTGTCCTTGACCTTGTATTTGTATTGCCTAATTACTGAGAGTACTCGACAATCAGCGAGTTCTATGGATCAGTCGCAGAGTGTAACAAAAGAAGTCATTAATGAGACAGGGAACGCAAATCTACTCGAAGTAATAAACATCATTTACATAGTAGACATCGTTATGATAAAGAGCGCTCCAACGCAATAGAGCTAAACTCTCAGAACAGAAAAGAGAAAACCAAACGATCAGTAATAATTGCTGGCGACTCCATAATTCAGCATGTGCATGGTTGGGAACTTTCTAATGAGGATTACAACCAGTGGTGACAAGTAACGAAGTAAATGTACTTCGTTACTTTACTTGAGTACTAATTTTGAGAAGTGAGCAAGTAACGAAGTAAATTTTTGACAGAGTACTTCTACTTGGAACGAAGTAAATTCAAAAAGTAACGTTTTACTTCGTTATTTTTATTTTGCGGTGAAGTATTCCGTTACTTTTATGGTATTATCAAATTTTAGTTCTATCTTTTACATGATTCGGTGATTTCTAAAATGAATTTCGATTTTTAAACTCGACTCCAATCGCAATCAAATTTATAGTTATTTACACGAAGTACAGACAATTAATATATTCCGCTGAACACATGCGACAATACACGCGTTTCGCGCCAAATTATTGCGCCGAATTCACTGGCCCAATCATTGAACTCTACCCGAATTGCTTGGGCAGCCATGGCCGACAGTGATTTGCATATTGCAGACGAAGTCTTGAACGAAGGACAAGGACTAGAAGGTGTTAATACTATCGGTAAAAAAGGAGAAGAGGAGGAACATCCTTGGCCATATTTGAAGTCAATGTTTCGCTACAGTGGAAGAGTGGGAAGAGAGAACAAGAGCATCAAATTCATATGTTGCCTTTGCTCGCCACTTGTTAGAGAGATATCTGCGTTCATTTCGTCGCCTTCAAACCTAAGAAAACATGTACAGGTAAGCTGTTTTATGCCTTTGTCTGTTTGGTAATGGTAGGGTTTTAAAAACTTGAAATTGCCACCCGGGAATTCATCGGATGTAGTGTAGTGCAGTTGACAAATACATTTCTATACAAATAATCATGTAAAATATCTAAATATGTTCCTCACCGGAGGGTGCGGATAGAAATTGGAATAGCCCAATGTGCGGATACGTTAAATTTCAACGAAGTTTTAAGTTTTAAAAAGGAAACTAGGTTTGTGTTCAGGTCAATGTATGTATGTAATGTTTGCGTGTCATTGGTATTAAATTGCAACTTTGAAATCCCTTGTAGCCGTAGACACCCATCATAATCCCCCAGTAGTGCTTAATTAAAATTTAATAAAAAATTGAAAATCCCAAGAGGCCTGAAGGTAAAATTGCGGTATGTAACTATCGTATTGTTGGTGGTCTATTAGTCTATTCCAGAGTATCATTCCTCGATATACTCTATACAGTACTTGTACTTTTTACTTGTACTTAAGTATTTTTGAAAAATACTTTGTACTTTTTACTCAAGTACGTATTCTCTCCAGTACTTTTTACATTTACTCAAGTCGTTTTAATGCGAATTACTTCTACTTTTACTCAAGTATAAAATCAAAGTAATTTAGGCACCACTGATTACAACGTAGCAGTTAAATCGTTTTCAGGCAGTAAGTTAGAATACATGAAAGATTACTTAAACCCTCTTATTCGTCGGAAACCAGATGAAATTATTCTTCATATTGGTACAAATAATCTTAAAGATGCAGATATGGAACCCTAGAACCTGGCTGAAGGTATTTCTAGTCTTGCATTACAAATTAATACCAACTCTCCTACTACGAAAATATCTGTTTCTAGTTTAATAACTCGACAAGATAACTCAAGTCTAATAAACAAACTTAATGAGACGAATAAGCGACTTAAGGCCATTTGTGTTTGTTATAATTGGTGTTTTATAGATAATAGCAACGTAGACAGATCTTGTTTAAATCGACGCGGTTTGCATCTAAACCGTAAAGGAAGTAGTTTATTGGGTCGAAATTTTCTTCGTCATTTATCAAATTGATGTGTAATGCAGGCTAGTGTTAGTAAAATTAAACTGCACGAGACTGGCTTTTCTAAGGTCAAAGGTTTCAGGATGGCCATGCTTAATATAGTCAGTTTACCAAAGCATATAGACGAGATTCGTATTTTACTCGCAACTTCGAAATTTGATATTCTAGCAATTAATGAAACGAGATTAGATCGATCCATTTCTGACGATCTCGTAAGTATTCCAAATTATGATATAATTCGTTTTGATCGCAATAGATACGGAGGTGGGGTTTGTATTTTCGTAAATAACTCTATTAGCTATCGCAACCTGAATCATATCACGCCTGAAAATCTTGAGGCTATTTGTATCGAAGTTTATAAACCATATACTCGGCCTTTCATAATCGCTACTCTCTACAGACCACCAAATTGTTCCGTAGATGTTTTTTCCAAAATTGAAAATCTATTCGATAATCTTGATTCTGAGCAAAAGGAAATGTACCTACTTGGTGACTTAAATTGTAACATGTTGGACTCCTCCAATCATGTTACTAAGCGACTAACGTCACTCATGGAAATGTATCAACTTTCTCAAATAATTACCCAACCCACGCGTCTCACTCAAACAACCGCATCCTTATTAGACGTTTGTATCACCTCAAATTCGGAGAATGTTGTTTCTGCGGACGTTCCACTGGGCATAAGTGACCACAATCTTATTTATGTAGTAAGGAGAACCGGACCCAAAGCGGGCCCCATTCCCATAAGAGTATTGAAATTCGCAATTTTAAGCATTTTAATTGCAATAGTTTTCACGATGATCTTTATAATCAACCATGGGACCACATCGATCAGGAATCAAATATCGATCGTAAGTGGTCTCTTTGGAAATCTCTTTTTCTGGAGGTTTTTGGCAAACACGCTCCGCTGAAACTCAAACTAATTCGAACTAAACATAACATTCCATGGTTAAACCAAAATACCAAAAACTTGACACGAGAGAGAGATAGACTTAAACGTATAGCAATGATCACAAAACGTGAAACTGACTGGAATGCTTTCTCGACACTCCGAAATAGGGTGACTAACACTATACGTCAAGATAAGGAAAATTATCATCGAAATATAATTAAACAAGAATAACGATCCTAAACATGCCTGCATGGAAAGCAATTAATAATATTTTAAGTCGTAAGTCACCCAAATCAATTATCAATAATAATATGAAAGTAAATGATCGAGACGTAGTCATGCCCGAAGAAGTCTCGGATTGTTTCAATAAATACTTTGCTGACATAGGGGCCAAAGTTGCAAATTCGGTCGAAAATAGTAATTGTACTTTTGCTGAATATTTGAACAACTCCGCTTCCAAAAATACTACCTTTAGTTTTCAAACTGTGGAACCACAATTAGTTTATCATCTATTGCAAACAATTTCACCTTCTAAAGCTACCGGAGTTGACAAAATTCCAGAAAAAATACTGAAGTTAGCTGCTCCTGTAATTGCTCAGTCTTTAACTAATTTGTTTAATTATTCCATAACTACTGAAACATTCCCATCCGAATGGAAGATAGCAAAAGTTATTCCTCTTCATAAATCAGGGCCTAGAAATCTGCTCGATAATTACCGCCCAATTTCTATTTTACCAACAATCAGCAAAATATTCGAGAAAATTATTTATAGGCAGATATTCACCTATTTAAATACCAATAATATCATTTCGAAATATCAGTTTGGATTTAGACCAAATCATTCTACTGCTGATGCATTGCTACATAGCACGAACGAATGGTATACAAATTTGGATCGTGGCATGTTCAACATTGCTGTCTTTCTTGATCTAAAAAAAGCCTTTGACACAATAAATCATAAGATCTTAACGTCAAAGCTAGGTTTTTATGGGTTTGAGTCCTCCGCACTTAATTTTATTAGTTCATATTTAAAAAATCGATCACAATTGTGCTACGTGAATGGGCATTTATCTAATTCCCGCAATATTAATTACAGAGTCCCCCAAGGATCTATTTTAGGTCCTTTGCTTTTCCTAGTTTATATAAACGATTTTACCAAATTGTGTTCATACGTCTAGTGTTAGAATGTTCGCAGACGATACTACTCTAACTGCATGTGGCAAATCATTATTGGAAATTGAATCGAAAATAAATAGTGATTTGGCAAATGTTAACGCGTGGCTCTTAGCCAACAAATTAAGTCTAAACCTTGTTAAAACTGAGTATTTATTGATTGGAAGTCGATCTAAGATCAATAATCTTACCTCTGAACCTAACATTGTGATCAATAATAGACCCATTAAACGTGTAACTGAAACGAAGTCCCTAGGTATTCTAATTGATCAATTTTTATCTTGGGATAGTCATTTAGATGAATTATGTAAAAAGGTAGCAGCTGGAATTGGGGCTATAAAACGACTAAGGCCATATTTTAACCGTCTCACTCTCCTATCCGTCTATTATGCTTTGGTTCAACCGTATTTTGACTATTGCTGTTGTAGTGTCTGTGACGTCACAGTCACGTGAGGAACACGAGGAGAGACAGAGTAGTGTTTAGAGAGAATTGTAGTAAATGAGCGAGAGAATAAATCCTTAAAATTTGATAATATAAACACTATAATTGGCGACGAGAGTAGATTATCCCCCATCCACTGTCGGAAGTAATTAGTATTCAAGCGAATGACGTCAACAGGGGGTGTACGTCCGGGGGTTCGTACTTAGTGTACGTATTTAGCGTTCGTCCAAGCGTGCGTCCAGGCGCTCGTACTTAGTGTACGTCCAGTTTAGTAAGCATTATGTAATTGTATTGCACATGTCCTGACCAAGTATGCGTTCTTCAAGGTCGAATAATGTTGATGAAGTTTCGCCTATGGAATTTCGGAAGCTATGCAATTTGTTAGAGACAATATTTGCACAAACTGTTTCTTGCGAGGTTTATGAGCTTTTCGAAGAGAGGTGCTGTGGTTGTAAACTAAATCGCTTTAGTCAGAATGAGTGTCTTATGTTATCGTATGAGGAGAGATCGCAGATGTATGATTTGGAAGCCATAGAGCGACTTAGCAAAAAAGACGTGGTATGGAATAAGTTTGTTGAGGTGACCAAAGTTTTAGAGCTTCAGTGGGATGAAAACGTGTTTGAATATTGGAATCAATTGAGGAGAGACCCCATGTATGTTAAATCAATGATGAGTTTGGAGAACAGTGAGATGCTGAGTATTCTAGACCAACTTTCTAACTGCAAAGAGGATTGTTGTGATGACCCACTTGAACCTGGGGCTATGGTCTTTTTCTCAATGCCCCCTAGTTTTAAGTATACTGTGAAAGCGACAGGCGAGCAATTTAGAAGTCATGAAGAAGATCATCATAAAGCATATGTGGAATATTTGAGAAGTAAACTTTGAGATTCAGTGTAAATATGTTAATAATCGAGTTTCGTTTTTATTCTTTTTATAAATTTGGTGGTTCTTAAAAGAACCGGTGTTTTGGGTTTGTCTTTACTGTTGCAGCCACATCGCAAAAGCCTCTACTTCCACTTTTGCGCAGTGTTGATAAGCGTTGCTTTCCAGGTGGTTCCCACAGGTTTCTAACCAGATCAATTCATCAAATAGTTTTTCAGCTTTGGGACAATTAAAGCATTCCAAATTTACGGCCGGAATACGGAGACTCGCCAGCAAGTCCCTTTCGTAATGTCCGCCTTTGAAGGCAATTGTAGAGTTTGAATCTATCTGTATTTCACGGTAGAAATTCTCTACAATTGCCTGCAAGTCCGAAATTTGAAATGCTTTAGTGCCCCGTGGAACTCCGAACGGGAGTCTATGTA